GATTAGTTACCAAAATCTAGATTCTGGCCAAACAAACAATTTTAATTTAGTATGACAAATTTAGCCATAGCAAAGCATACCAACATTTATTAACTTGTCTTTTACAGATCAGCTATAAAATATAGAAAAAGTTTAAGTTTTTTTTTTTTTTAATTATATCATTCATGCTTGAAAATCCCCTGAAATATTAGCAGAAACCAAACTGCTGAAAAAGGCTACTAATGCTATTCCTCCCCGTTCCCTCCTCAACTAAATCCCAACAAGGGAAAACAAGATTTTGCTCATTTACTTTATCTCACTACCAAAACCTCAACCCAAGGTGAAACAGGCTCTCTGGGTATTTAATATAGACCTGTAATAACTTACCTCAAAGAGAGCCATATTCTTCCCTTCATATGAGTTTCCTCTGTCCGTCTCAGCATCGTTGATGAAAGGGCTGCTCTCCCTGACAATTCCATCGCCTGGCAGAAAAACACAACAGTTAGAGTGAAGAAGAACGCAGGAAAAGTGTGAGACACCCCATAAGAGCCCCAGTAATACTGAGGATGCCTCTGTCCCAGCCGCGCTTCCCTGCTGAGCTCCCTGCTTCCTGACAGCGTAAGCGCCTGCAGCCAGCTCAGCCAGCTCTGTGATTCTTCTTTTTTTTTCTGCCTTTTTATAGAGAAGTGTAGCGAGACTCATAGTTTACCAGCCATATACAACTAACGGCAGGGACTAATCGGAGAGGCGACGGTGTTCCCGATGATAGCGAGTCATTGGGAACAGCGGCAGCGAGGGCGGGCGCGCGGGAGCGACAGCAGCACCTGCTCTGCCCGGGCAGATTTCGGCACGAGCCAAGGGAAGCAGCAGCCCCAACCTGGCCACGGGCACGAGCTGAACCCGGGGATTTGCTAGAGGGGACAGGCCCCGAAAGGGAGGCTACCGCTAGCTCACTGGTACAAATCCTAGCTTGCCCTCGTGGCCAGGGCTGTGCCCCTGCGCCTCCCATCTGAAAAAGCAGATATGGGAGAGAGAAAACGTCCTAAAAAGGAAACGGCTACCAGAGAAAGGGGAGAAAAAAAAAAAAAAACACACCACCACACACACATTTGTGCTGCGGGATGACTAAGGAAGCAGTGACGGGGTGAGGGGAGGCACTGACCCAGATGAGAAAGTCAGGGAGGGCTGCAAGTCACACGCATGTATACTCCTGCCTGCACGTATGCATAGCGTGACCATCGTGTAACAACACCCGTTTTATAATGCTGCATGAAATATAGATGGGTATGAGTCAGATACAAAATATAATGTCATGTTATGTGTATGATGAGTCTTCCTTGGGAATATTTTTGTGCAATAGATCAGGAATAGCCAAATTGATGTCAAGCTCTTTAAACAACGCAGGAAAAAAAAGTAATTTTCCTTAGATACTACACTAAAAACTCATCCTCCAGCCGATACAAACTCTCATTGAGGAAACAAAAGGAACTGTCACCTTGAAACAGAGGCAAATTCAAGTCACATATGTAGTCTTTTTTTTTTTTTTCTTTCCAAAAAATGAGGCACTCAGATTTAGTTACTGTTAAGAATGATCTGCACAACTGCTTACTGCAAACTTGTAAAACTTCACTGCTCATGGCTTCAACTGGCTGGAAAACAAAACCATAAGCACACGTTTATCTTGGGCTGGTGTCAGGAACAACCAACCTCATTTCATCTGGGGGTCGCACGGGAAGAACAAACCAAATGAGGAAGGTGGAGGATTAAAAAAAAAAAAAAAAAAAAAAAAAGTAGCTTTAAATAAAAAAGTAGCTTTAAATAGAGAAGTCTCCCAGCAGAAAATATAGGGATATTGGGTAGTTTTAAATATGTTATCTGTTACTGTAATATATATTACAAAAATACCTCTGCCACAGAAATTTTAAAAGGCTTAACAAAGTACCTGCTGCGAGGGCTGAGCCGCACCAAGGCCACTGAGAAGCAATGCTTTGATTAAAGACAGCTCATGAAACCTGGGGAAGCCCCCAGCCACACTCCAGAAAGATGACAGGTACCAGAGGCCTGTCCTGATAAGAAATCACCTTTCTGAAGAGCTACAAACCCCTTAAAATTTCTAGACTGTAAGGAACCAAGTCATTAATTTTAAAACAATACTAAAAATCAATGTTTCTATGAAGGAAGGGTTCAGTAGCCCCACATCTTCCAGTTAATCTAACCACACTGTGAGGACAAGATTTAAGCCCCACGCTAAAGATGCTGCTCACGCTCTTAACACTTTTCCTTAGCCCCCAGGCGTCACTGCGAGGAAGCCGGGTTTCACTCACTTAAACAATAAATTTACCACATGCTTTTAGCGCTGCTCCTTACTCCCGGTTACTTAACCACCAGCTCAGCTGCTCGGCAGCGCTCTCAGAGCACAGCGTTCCACAAACTGCATTTTAAATCCAGCGGCTGCCATTTACGCTGTCAAGTTAATATCCCTCGGAAGCCAAAAGCGCTAAGGCCCTAGAGAGCGCAGGGGTAGCGATCTGGTGTCTTGCTTTCAAAAAGCTGTAGCAACAGTCGATAAATAACTGCAACACGATTACAGCAGTGTTCAGAATTCACATGCGCTGTTGAAGTCTAAAGGTGAAAAGCAAAGCACAGCAGCACCAAGCCGTTCTCTCAGAGAATCATTATCCTCTCACTGCTCAATCCCTTTAAACTTTAATCCAATGTGATGGGTGGCACACTCCTCCACTGAGGAGAGGAGGAGGAAAACATACACACCACACAAGCCACCACCACACAGCTCCTCTGCGGGTAGTAAGAGGGCCCACTGTTAAGAAAACCTGGTTTGAAGGGAAACAGCCTTCTAATATTTTAATAAATCACTTCCATACATTTGGGAGAAGCCTCAGCGATCCAGGCTGCTGACAGCACAAAACGAAAGAGGAAAGCAGGATGTAGACAGTGTGGAAAAGGGTTTCATGGCTCTCGTCACGCAGGTTCCTTCTCTTGGCGGGATCTGCATCCACCAAGGCAAATGTTACAGCAGGGCGCAGTGCTGATGCGCACACACCTGTATTTTAGATTTCTATACTAGGTTTGTTCTTCTGTTACCATAACATGGTCTAAAATCTACTTGTTGTAAAGCTGCTTTTGATTTATGTTTCTTCCAGAAGTCCACCCAAAACCACACATAGCGTGGAAGAGGAGAGAACGAGCAACTAAGGAACTGTGATCATCCTCTGAATTTTGAAACCGTTCAGTGAGTAACTAGAGGGGAAACGATCCCGAGTACTTCAGTGAAATCCCATGACTTATGGGAGCACAAATTAAAGATCTAGAGCTCTTGGATTTATCCTTTGCATTGTCACTTGCACAAGCCCAGGCTCAGCCCTGTGTTCACAAGACTACAGCAAGTTGAATAAGCAGTATCCATGCATCTCTGCTGGCACTAAATATGCTTAGCAGACTTGGAAACTGAGACCAAACTAAGTATTTGCATGGAAAGCACCCAGCTAAGTCATCCACATCCCTTGCCTGGCTGTCACAGGAATTGAAGCCTCTGCTGCCCTGAGGCCCCTGCTCTAGCTCTGCAGCCCATCCCCAGCATCACCCTTACTGCACAAACCTCTAATGTAGAGTTAAGACCCTCACTCTTGCCCCTGCCTGCAGGATCCCACATTTACAGGCTACCCAGCTCGCAGTGCGAATCGTAACAGGCTGCAGAAATCGCACTATTATTTACTATTCCAGGATGTAATCCAGCGCTCTCTGAAGGCTTTAGTGGTAAGTAGTTCTGGTTCCTCACACTTAAAAATAAGCCAAGCACAGCACAACCTCCGTGGGAGCCTGTTACGGGTTCCCCAGTGGTTGAGAACTGATTAGCAGGTAACTTGTAAGGCACCACCAAATCCAGCACATCAAGTTAACTGAGGATGGTTTGTGCTTGGGGTAATTTTGCTTTTAAATCAGGATGCATTTTGCATCCTGACCCGATGCATTTCACACTCATCTATTTGCATACTAAATGACACTAACCAGATACCTGGCCTTGTTAGGCATCAAATCACATTGCCAGAATGAGACTGACAGTTTGACAAGCTCGCGTATAACTAAATATCCAGCAAATCAGAAAAAAAAAAAAAAAAAGAGTTAAGTACAACAGCACAGGTGATATACATGCCCAAGAAAATGAAAACAGTATTTAAGGAGAGCTTTAACAACCTTGCAAAAAAGAGAGAACTGGGTCTACCACTCCTGCAAAGATGATAGTGTTGAATTTGGAATTTAGTACTATACTCATGTCTATAAAAACAGAATCATAATTTCACGCATACATACGCATATGTGCATTTATAAAATAATTTTAAAAGTAGCTGGACTGCCCAAAACCAGACTCCTCTAGCCCAATGCCATATCTATGGCAGTGGCTACATTCAAATTCCGGGAAAAAAAAAAAAAAAAGCATAAGACTAGAACAAACATTTACACCAAACTTCATGTGCCACTTTGTACCTTATCTTTCAGTCTCATAAGGTCTCTAATTAACCACAAACTACCCTTATCTCTTTCATTCTGTGGCACATCTGTATCCCAATGCTTTCCCTTTTCCAACCCATTTGTTGCAAGGCTATATTGAACAGCACAGATCCGAGAGGAACCCCACTGCAGAACTAAGCTATTTACCCTTAAGATAACTTAAGTCTTCTGACTTTTACCACCAAATTTTTTTTAACACAGACATTAATTTTCCCCATCTCAAAATTGCTTAGTTTCTTTAAGAGTTCTTTATAATGGCAGACAAAAACCTTCAGGTTGGAGGTGGAGGATGAAGTGGGGCAAGGGAAGTGTACTGACCTCACCTACCTTTTCCATGCTCGGACAACTCCCTCAAACAGCTCTAAGACTTTGGGAGCAAGAGTTTAGAAACAAGTTTGAATAAAGAAGCTTTCTGTAAAAGGTGCCCTGGCCCTTCCTGACGCCTTACACTTACTTATTAAACATTCCTTATCAAACCCCAGTTCCATGAAGCTGAGGCTCCTGCAACACCTGTCCTGGAATGTCTATTACAAACACAACATCATGATCACACTCATGTTTATCATTACCACACAATACAAGAAGTAGTAAGTGCTGATACTGTCCCAACATGGGAATGATTTCAGTAATATTACTCTCAAGCCCTTTTCCATGCCAGTTTGTTCCACACTTTTGCTTTGCTACTCAAAAGTCACAGCAATGGCTCTTGCACAGTGTTGTCATGAGCCGATTATAGAGGAGTTGGCCAACATGCCATGCTCTTCCCTGTGCCCTCCCCTCTGCCCCGGCCAGGACACTCCCCTCAGAGGCCACTGAAATCCCAGGATAAAGCTGCTGCACACTTGCACACCACAAGGCAGCCTCAGCATATCAAGCACTTCCTTGGCTGGAACAGGCCAGAACTAGATTCCAGGCCCTCAAGCAGGTGAGGCTAGTAATGTTCCTGAAGGAATTCCTAAGACTCCCTTGGCCAAAAAACTCCACAGTATCACAGTACTTACTGGTATAAGGACAGGGATAAGCACACCGCTATCATACAAGATCCAAATAAAAAGACGACAGCCCAGTAGGGCCCTGGAATTAATTCTACATTCACAGAAACAGTTGATGCCTTTGTCCAAAATTACGACTTTTATCTAGCTTTTATCTTTCTATCCTTATCCTCCAGCTTGTGTTTTTCCTGACTTGTACTAGAGTCTTTCTTCACCTGCTCGTATTTCCATATAAACAACTCCTATTTCCATGTAAACAGCTCCTTGAATTTGTTCTACCGGGAATAAGTTTGGAGTAAAACATTTCTAGCAAGATTAAGACCTTACAGATGTTTCAAAGACAAACCTTGCTAAATACACCTAGAAGACTTCAAATAGAAGAATATAGAAGAACTTAAGTTTCCTATTCTTCACGTTCTTCATTAGGGTTTCCAGCTGATATGGCACCTATTTTAAAGCTTTCTAAGTCTTCAAAATAGCAATACCTATTTCTTATGACCAGATTCTACAGAAGCCTCCTCTTTTATACTCATGCACTCTCTCTTCTCACTTTACCTATACTTACCACATTGTTCTCTTACCTGACACATTCCCATTGATCAGGGAATCAAAAAGGGGCATCGAAAGAGACCACATGCCTTACACTTAAATTGAAATGCATCATGCTATAGTGAGAGCTAATCATACAACCTCAAGATACAGCTAGCAGCTATGATGAGACTGATAAAGTCGACAGTCCCAGTCTTTAGCCTATCCCCTTCTCCAACCAGGCACTGCTTAGAAAACCAGAACAAAGGCCATGATTTATATTTTCCAGGAATGCTGTACATACCATCTCCAATGCATCAGCTGGAGCAGGGCAAACAGAAAAACCTCTGGCTCAGTTTCTTCAAGCAGTTACCTCATTCCACTAACAAGTCCAAAGCCATTTACAGCTTTGTTTTAACACTCTTCCCTTAAAACATGGAAGCTTAAGATAATCAGATAACCTTTATTTCAGACTTCTTCAAAGTTGGCTCAACTCAAACAAAAGAGCATGAAACTCCTCTCAGGCATGAAGCAGATTTTAACAAATATTAAAACTGATAAACTTCTAATGTTGCTTTAGACACTCCTCCAAATGACACATCTCTGAGTTTGCACACATACACACCACGGTGCAATTCTGCTCTCTGAGGGACTAGCAAGCAACCAAACTCACACCATGACCAACTTCCTTTTCCCAGAAACCTACCCAAGGGAACACTGCAAGAGCAGCCCTCCCCAGGCCGCTCTCCTTGCAGCTACCAGCCCAACGAGCCACTTCCCAGTGAGGAACAACTACTCCAGTCCAGGAATGTTGCCCAGGCCTTGGGGAAGCCGCCCGAGGTGCTGATCACCTCGGCCCCAAGCAACACACCAATTCCCAACGCCAGACACCGCAGACTCGCACTTACCATCCCACGTGGTGCCATCCCCAAGGTCACAGCCAATGCTATCAAATCACTTCAAGCGTCCCCAGACATCAAAATAGTTTAAGGCATGCAAACAGTTAAAAGTATTTCTGGGACAGCCCAATGGTTCAGATTACAATCAACCTAAACCAGGCACCTTTCCCGCTCCCCTGCCCTCCCACACTCAGCACTCACCCGTTCCCACCCGCCCCCGGCCCAGCCATCGCTCCCGGCCTGGCAGGGACAGGTCCTCACCGGCCAAGCGGCGGGCAGAGCGCTCGTCATTGCCCTTTCGTTTCTGCTGCCCATCTTGATCCAGCCTAGGCTCCCACCGGCACTAGAGAGAGGGCAGCAGGAGGGGAGCGCGCGGGCAGGGCAAGCAGGACCTCTCCTTGCCACCCATGCCCCTTCTCACAAAAGTAAGGGGGAATTTTCTGAGTATGGAAGAAACAGTACGGTTGTCTTATCTACGGCAAAGTGGCAATTTAAGCGATCCTAAATTTGTGGTAGGAAACCCATTTAAGAGATTAAGGACAAAAACATGAGACCATCTAATCTGATTTCCTTTCTTTCCACAGCATTTCATTCCTACGTCAGGTTCTCCAGCTTTGAGAAAACACACACTTTGGTTCAAGCAATCCATTTCTTGATGCTTTCAGAATTAAATACATATATATTTTTAATTTAGTTGATGGAAAAAGTCTTAAAGAAATTGTGACTTATCTGTAAATTAAATTGGTCTCTTTTTAAATTTAGAAGGTATACTAGGGGCTTACAGGTGAAAATTTAAGCATTTGCACCCAGCATTTTCTATATGTGGAAGCATCTCTATTTGAGTCAAGTCAAACTTTTTTTTTTTTTCCCCCTCCTCCAAAAAGGGCAAAGTCAGCTAAACTCACCTTAAGGTATTTTCTCAAACTCCAATCATTTTGGGGGCAGCATTTTCCATTCTTAAGATATGCAAAACATTTTCCATACTCCCCAACCAAGTGGAATATGTTAACACCCACCTTACCCACACTATTTAGAGAGGTTTAATCGCCTCTCTGCCCGGGGATCACGTTGGTCCTCTTTGCTACGGCATTAAGCCAAGCTCATGATATTCTATTCCAGGCTGACCCCTAAATCTTCTCCAGATTCACTGCTTCCTCACTACACGCCTCTTCACACGCTGCTCCTACGTGCCTTGGCATTTGAATGCATTTTGTCCAAACAAACCCCCTTTAGCAAGGACACTCCTCTCCTATCATGCTGATAGTTTAACGTTTCACATCACCTGGGGAAAGAGGAAGAAAAAAAAAAAAAAAAAAGGGAGCAGAGTCTTCTCCTACAGCAAAAGGCTGTAAAAGGCGTTCACAGTAGTGGGAGCTACCTAAGAAACTTGTGAGCCACATGACCACAAACACAACGCTCTGGCTTTGATAAGATAACTGTTCTCTAAATAACCAGGCACAGGCGTAGGCTTCTGTTTTTGTCTTAAGGGATAACAAAGTGAGCTTTGCTCACCAAGGGAGGCTTCTAACTTTATGCAGAAAGGTCTAAAGGCAAACTCAACTGGAAAATAACTAATACTTCCCAGAGAAGCACAAGTCTTGGACAGTTTTTAAAAGGTTGCGCTCAGTCACAGTCTATGTATGTTAAAGTATTTGTAATAAAAACTACAGTAACATTTTCATGAAGTTGATAGTATTTTGTTTAGTTTGTATTGGCTCATATTAAGAACATGTAATTTGTTTGTACAGTAAGTGCTTACTGTGTGGATACTTTTAGCTTCAAACGCTTATTAAATTTAAAAGCCACTTGAACTGAAATGTAGAAGTGACAAAGCCAAGGGAATTTACTCTAGCAAGGACTGTAACACTATTCTCTCCACTAAGTATTTCCAAATTCTTGATCAACAAGCAGCTAAAGAAAATTCAGACAACCTTAATTTTGAATTTATTATTCCTTTCACTCCAGCATTATACAGACATATTCTTCAGAGCTCTAAAAATAAAGCAGAGTTTTCAAAAGCAATGAGCTAGCTTTAACTCAAATTGCAAAAAGACCACAAAAACCTCTCCGTGCATCTCATCTATAGAAGCTTTTGCATGATTTGAGTTTAAGCATTCGGTGCAGTCTTTACAAAGAAATTAAATTCGTGACCCAAATAATGTCTAAATATTTTAAATACAGCACTGCTCTATGCTCTTGCTCTATGTTTTTTTAAAAATAACTAGCACAATTTCCTTATCTTAAAAAAGAGAAGATGTACTTAAGCCCTATGTATGCAGTTAAGCTCGCTTTACATAAGGGAGGATTCTAATACTGCACCCATCACTTACCTTGTCAACATCACTGTTTTAGTTTTCCATACCTAGGCCACTATTACAATCAAGTACAGTGTATTTCTAATAAAAATACACTGGAAAAGCTGCTAATACAGCTGAAAATATAGGCCTCACTACTGCAGTACAATAGTCATTAGATCCATCATATTGTGTTTTAAAAAAAAAGACTCACCTGGGTTTGGCCCACTTTCTTCATAATCTTGTTCTTTCATAATTAAAAGGGGAAACCAAACCAAAAACCTACCCAAACCACTCCACTGATCCTTCCGATATCAGGGAAGCAAACGGGAAACTGACAGTTGTCTCATCCCTGCTTTGTGTAAGACACAAATCCTGTTTCTTACTCGTATTGGATTAATCCTAGAGCGAGTCATTAAGGCTTCGTGCCGGTGGAAACATGCGCATGACACAGCCAAACTGCCCGGCTGCAGCAGAAGCCTCCAAGCAGAAATAAGCCCGAGGATTTCCGCCTGCAGTAAACATAATGCTTAGGGAAAAGGGCCGGATCGGCTTACTGAAATTCAATGTCTCTTCCTACTAATAAATGCAGTTGAAAGTCTCCTTTCCATCAAAGAAATCCATTTTGAAATGCTTCCATTAAGCAGGTCAGTATATCCTGGCAACATACAGTTTATTCTAGAGGTTGATCTATTTGTTAAGCTAATAGTAGGTATCGAGAACACATTAGCTATTCTTGAGCATGGTATTAACAGCACGGATGCTAAACCTTGGTTCTTTTTAAAAAACAGCCTGCACTATTTGTACTAATTTAAATAATGTAACAGCTTAGAATTTCTTTAAAATATAACTAACTTTGCAAATATCCTTTGTATTTCAAAGAATATACCAAAAATTCTGCCTTAAGAGTGACACCATAAAATTAGAGCCATAAGTTGTTAGTTCTCTTAATTCCCTTTGGAGTTCGATACTTTGTTGCTTTTAATGCACTTCATATATTCCCTACGAGCCTTAAACAGCCTCATACAGAGCGTTTCAGTTCGACTAAATGGATGTTGAATGCTTAGAACGGATTAGTTGCCGCTGTCAAATCTTTCAGTCGCATCTGAAATCTCCTTTCCTCGGCAAGCGTAACACCTATCCCGCCAGCTTAGGCGCAGCGCAGCCGCCTGCCGAAAGGCTGGAGGGCTTCCCACCCCCATTCCCAAAAAGGGCCTCCTCCAGGAGCGGCTCTAACTCACCGGCACCATGAAGAAGGGGTCCCCTGGCTCTCCAAATTTTGATTCAATCTCCCGGACTGTCTCTTGTGCTGTATTAGGAAAATAAGGCAGCTTGTCGAGCACCAACATAGGCCTTGCACAATATGGGGGACCAGTAGAAGAAGAAGGGGTAAAGGGAAAAAAAATAATAATAAATAAAGGAACTTTCCACTGATCAACAGACTCATACCACCACATTGCTTGTTCTACTGTTAAGTCCTAGCACTCTGAGGACAGCTCCCCAAGTAACAGAGCCAAACTCAGGCAGGTTTTCAAGGCCTATTTTCAATCTTCCCTTGCGAAGCTAGGAGGGCAACACACGAGCTTCGCCTTCTCCACGACAGAAGTCATCTGCTACAACTTATTCTCTTCAGAAAGTGTCAAAAAGTGACCTTGCAGGAAGAAGGTTTGAATTTTAAAGAAAACAAACTTCTGCCCTGGCCCCTTGTCAGGAAGTAAGAAACAGAACCAGTCTTTCATTTCTTCTTTCTCGCAGAAAGCAAAAGGGATCTTTCCAAAAATATATATTCTGAAAAAGGCATATTTATCTGTCAAAGAATAATAAAGCATGATGAGTCAAGAGGCTGGAAGCATGGGGGAAGACAGAAGAGACTGCAGAGAGTAGGGGAAAAAAGAGCTCAAAATTTGCCCATTCAGAGAATGTCACCAATTATTCCTAGTAATTTCATTATCCCTGCTTCCACATCTACTTTGAGTCAACTCAAAAAAGCAACAGTGTAGCTTGAAGATGAAGAAAAACCCTTAATCAGTATTTGCTGTAGGGAGAGGCGCTGCTGTTCTCCTGCTGTGATCCAATTCAAGGAAACAAAGGCTCTTGAAACAATCTGGTTTGCCCGTTTCCTGCTGGTTTGGCTCTCTGAACCAGTTCACAAGTAACTGCACTGGACAGAATAAACTAGCAGCAGCAAGCAAGATGGGCTATGCTCTAACATCAAACTAGCAAATGCTAAGCAAACTTAGCAAAGGCAGCCCTAATATTACTCCCTGTGAACTTTTAACAGGGGTCACGTAACACGAGTCATTCCAAAATGACAATAAAGGCAGTTAAAAGCACAGTTACCCCATAGGACCTTTATTCAGCATCACCTCCAAATGAGAGAGTCAGGGTTTCGACAATAAACTGATCAAAATGCCTTAGCAATACTATTTCCATGAGAGGACCCTGGAAGTTAAATTTGGAGGGCTGATGGCCTTACCCCCGACGCAGCCCTTTCCTACAATTGCTTTGGGATTAGAGTCACTCACATTCAGCTCTGGCTCTAAGTGTTAATGTTCCCGTACAGCACTTATCTCGCATGGAATCAAGAGAGATCACGGGGAAATGGAGTAGCACCTTGCAGTCCATCTCAGCAGAACATTTCTCTTTCACAGAAGGCTCTTGCCTCAGTCTGAAATGCTCAGTCAGTTCTCCTTGGAGCTTGGACAGGCAACAGAAGTCACCTGCATTCACAGCGACACATGTAGCTCCACTAATCAGAATCAGAGCATCTTGGTAGAGGCAGGCTCAGAACCTAAGGTGCACGGGGCAGCCAAAGCCCCTCAGAGCAGATCAGCAAATCCCTCTGCTGATCCTTGTGCCTGTGCTCAAAGGTCAGATTCACCTCAGCAGGAGCAGCGCTTCCGCTTCCAACACCGCGCTATGAAACTGGATATTCCGGGAAGAACCGGCGCGCCTTCTGGAAAGGGAGATCCTGTCTTGCAAACCCGCAAGAGCTCT